GCGTTTTTCTTGAATTCTGTTGAAGCCAGGTTCTCAACATTTTGTGATTTAAAGCTTTTAATAGTAATTGCTATATTGATCAACTTTATTACGAGTTCTGGTAAATAATTTTTGCAAAATCGCAAAATTAAGTAAAATTGCGGGCAATGATGGCCGGTTTTAGGGTATATTTAAAATATGTATGACTGAAAATAATAAATTAATTATATGTTCGTTTGTTGCAAATGTTTGAGTTTTAATACGTTGTTTGCTTAAATTAATGTGTTCAATTTTGCTACATAATTTTTTTTGTGTATAGTGTATATTTTATACTTGGTAGAGCCACGCTGCGGCTATATTATGGTTGCAGCACGAATGACTCAGCTCGAACGGGGAAGGACCACGCTCTCACAGAATACCAGCGTAAAATACCAGCTTAATACTAGGTACTGTGCTTCGTATGATGAGTGTAGAAATCCGGAGACCCTTTTTTTTACTGGAAACGAGGCATTCCATCTTAGTCCTCAGGCGTGACAACGCATCTGCGTTTTGATTCTTAAGCAAGGATAAATGTAGATTCTATGGGCCACAGCATCCACTTTCCATCGGTGTACTGTGTGCTCGCTTGTCACCGTTATTCTATAAAAAATTTATTTAATAACGATAATCAAACTTTATCAGCTTATCACGTTAGTAGTTATTCCTTGTTTTTCAAAAGAAGCAATGATGATGATGATCAATTATTCTATTTTGGTTTATTATATTATACAGATTTTAAGTTTAAATAGCATACAGATTTAATACAGATTTTAGCGGTTTCTAATACAGATAAAAGGTTCAAGGCATCTGGCAACACTGCTGCGGCGTACCGAAGTGAGCCTTGCTGCAGTGTAGGGCGCCGGCGCCTCTGTTCTCACTAGTCGGTTGTCGGATCTGATTGAAGCTGGAGCCATTTTTTGACAGTCTATACGAGGCTACTACACGCGATGGATGTCGACGAAGCTTTTATTTTGGTGTATTATTTTAGAAGACAACAAAGAAAAAAAGCCAAGAAAAATTGTCCGTCCCATAGAACACCTCTTTCCTGAACTATTGTGATCAAATCTTCAGGATTTATATTATTTTTTCCGTTATTACGGAACACCAAACGTGCGTACAATATGTTGTGTACACAAACGGTTTGCAACAAAACAACCCTGCGAGCACGCCGCGATATAGAGGTTTGCCGGGCCCGACATCCGACACAATGTGAACAGTGCCATACTTACTCATAGGCGAACGAGATTCGACGCGATTTTTTTACGGACGTAGAGGGCTGGTAAAACATCAGACATTTCTTGTTGGCGCCGATAAAAATACGGTGTCGGATAAGTGTGAACAGCTTCATATGACATGTTTCGTCATTAGGGATCCGGCTTTAACGGTAATATTTTTGTGCGTATAAAATCGCGGGAACAGCTAGTCTAGCCTCTGGTATATTGTCATATAAAATATACAAGTCAGTTGGAATTTCAAATAATAGGTGTATTGTGTGTTAATTATCGATTCGTTTTTAATTTACCATTACAAATTTCAGTTCTAATCCATACACTCCATAAAATATAAAAATAACCTTTATACTAGTTGTTTATTCCTTATATAATAGTAATAAAAAAGTGACGCAAATACCCAATACTCACATTATTAACTTTTATGTACCTATAATCCAAACTTACTAGGTTACTGTTTTGGGTTCTTTTTATTTAGATGATCCACGTTCAGCAACGCACTACTATAATTACTATCTTTGATAGTTATAGTAGTGCGTTCTACTACAGCTATCTTTATGATATAAATTTAATCAAATAATACGAGTAGAATATTCAAATGTAAGAGTTCAAACTCTTGTAAAACAGTAAATTTCCTCGATTTGATTGTTACGAGTATAATATAAACCTACGAAACAAACGATGGCTTTCTCAACTTTTTCAGCCACCAGAGCGCCACCATAACAATGTCAATTATTTGACAGATATAATGGAGGGGGGGGGTTAAATTGTTAGAAAAGTGTAAAGATTAATTTTCTATTGAAATGAATAAAATAAAATACGGATATTTCTAAAGAAGACACTTACGGCACGAAAAAGTGAAATCGATATTAATATTTGTGAGAAAACATATGCTTTTTTTGTATAATATATTTTAGGTATAAGTATTTGATATACTAAAAACAGTATTTTACTTTATATAATTACGGATTCTGAGATTAGGTTAAGGGGACATAGTAAGTCAGCTCAAATTCTAATTTCGCCCCCACTTCCCCGCGCGTCGTATTCTATGTACCGACATGTTTGTAATCACTAATACTGTAAGTAGATAGGTCGTTAGATACTTATTTTATTAGGTTTATCATATTTATGCCTGTTTCTTAACGCCAACCCAGTCGCTTCTTATTTTTATCACGGTTATTTCCCATTTTAATTTTACGTCGTCCTGATGCCTAATGTGTATTCTGATCTTAAGCGACACAACTTCTCCCTTCAAAAGCCTAAACGATACTAACGGGGCGACAGGAACTATGTTGCCAGGTTGCCACATTGTTAGTGAAGGTCTCTAGACTGCCATCAAAAAGTCCCTAGTTATAAGTGAATTTAGTAATAGAAAAACTCTCCAAATATATATATATATATATATATATATATATATATATATATATATATATATAAGATTATATAATATAAATGAAAAGAACTAAAATTCTAACTTGACATGAAATTTTCGCACACATTTCAGTAGGGCATGAAAAAATGTTTTTGCATCGTCGGTCATCACCGGTTTTAAGAATGAAAAAATGAGAATAACGCTAATCAATAATCAGATAACTAATTTAAAAAAGAATTCCATGTTTTTAAAATAAAACTAATTTGAAATTAGAATACCTCATAAAACAAAAATTATTTTGATTTGAAATCAGTATTACAGAATAAAAAGTTCATAGGTAAAGAGCTATTAAAGTGCTTTAAAATGTTTTTGTTTAAAGTAAACCAAAAACTAGTTTATGAATTAGGCACGCCAGAAGCTTTGCAGGTTTTAAAGTTCAATAGTTTTATGAGAAATAGGTCGTGTAGGTTTTTAGGCATTTAATTGCTTAGCTATTACCCAATCTGAGATGTGTCACATTTTACTATCAATATTAAAATGAAATCTGGCTGGTAAAGGCTATTTCAAATAAGTAAGTGATAGAGCCACGCTGCAGATATAACGGGTGGGCCAGAAAGGAGTACGATTTTAAAAACACTTGCGTTTGAAGCTTTAGAGAGGGGACTGCGCGGGTGGTGGGGTTAAGTAGCTCGGTTCTCGGGAATTTAGTCGCGATGGATCACTTCACGGGAGCGCAACGTGCTTTCTGCGTTAAACATTATCATAAAAATCACGATTCGTGCGCTATTGTTCGGTGTTTATTTCGACGTGAGTTTGGATTACATGACCTAAATCAGTGTCCGAAGGAAAGCGTGATTCGATCGTGGGTCAGAAAGTTCGAAGCTACTGGTTCGACTCTCAAACAGAAGCCTGCGGGACGCCTAAGGTCAACAAGAACGAAAGACACAATTGAACAAGTTAGAGCTTCAGTTCAACGTAATCCTGTTCTATCGACTCGAAAGCGTTCAGCCGAACTTGTGGTGTCCAGAACATCTTTGCGTCGCATTTTGTTGAAAGATCTGAAATTGCATCCGTATAAAATTCAACTTGTGCAAGAATTACAGCCAAATGATCCAATTTTAAAGAGAGCTTTTGTTGAAACGATGCTGGAACGCTTTCGGAGTTTCAACAATATTCTGTACTCCGACGAAGCCCATTTTCACATAAATGGGCAGGTGAATAAACAGAATTGCCGTTACTGGGCTGCAGAGAACCCACGTGCAAAACATCAAAAGCCTCTACATTCGCCGAAAGTAACCGTTTGGGCGGCCATGTCAGCGCACGGAATTATTGGACCCCACTTCTTCGAAAATCGACAAGGCCAATCTGTCACTGTAAATTCTGACCGATACATAGCCATGTTAAGGGATTTTTTCTTTTCACATCTGCAACAATTTGAAGCCTATAATCGTGCGACATGGTTTTATCAAGATGGCGCGACATGCCACACAGCTAATGCCTCTTTGACGGTCGTAAACGAGATGTTTGGTGAGAAACTGATATCGCGCCGAGGTGACATTGAATGGCCTCCTAGAAGTCCGGATCTTACACCACTGGACTTTTTTTGTGGGGATAGCTAAAAAGTAGAGTCTACTCCAATAACCCAGCCACAATTGACCAGTTGAAGACCAATATCCGGAAAGAAATGGCAGATATTCCCCGTGCAATGTGCCAGCGATTTTTTACCAATTTGAGGTTCAGATTCGAAGAATGTTTGCAGCGCGATGGTGCACATCTGGATGATGTTATTTTTAAGAAATGAATTTCCCAGATGTAAATTTTTGTAGAAATAAAAATTTGTATGTGAATTGTACTTAGTTTTTTTTTAATGATTTTTTCAAATTCGCAATTCTTTCTGGCCCATCCTGTATTATACTTATACCACGAATGGGTCACTCGGCCGGGGCAGGACCACGCTCTCACAGATTACTAGCGTAAAATAGCAGCTTAATGTTGCTGTGTTTCGTATTGTGAGCGTAGAGAACTGAAGACCCGTTTTATTGGGATCGAGGCATTCCTTCTTACTCCTTAGGGTTGACAACGCATTTGGGTTTTGATTTTTAATCGAAGTTAAATGTAGATGTATATGGGCCACAGCATCCACTTACCATCAGGTTGATTGTGTGCTCGTTTGTCACCCTTATTCTATTTAAAAAAATCCATTTTAGTCTTTAGAGGTAATAATGCTACGTCTGCACTTTGATTCCACAGTATCCATTTACCATCAAGTGGACTGTATGCTCTTATTCAATGAAATCCATGCTTATTTTATTAAAAAAAACGCGCCATATATCGGTTGTTTGATTTGATGGCAGTACTAAAGTGTGTGTGTTGGTGGGCAGCTGTCGTCATCGCCGCAGTCGGCTCGCTGGGCGCACGCGCGGCTGCTGGTGCTGCTACTGGGCATCCTGTGCGCCGCCGTCGCGCTGCTGGTGGCCGCCGCGCGCTGGGGTCTGCCCGCCGGATGGGACACCTTCGCCTTCATGGCCGCCGAGGTGAGCTGCACTCACACCCGCACGCACGCACACATGGCACACATGTACACACACATACACACGATTGTGGTAGAGCCACACTGAAGCATTGCTATGGTTGTAACATGGATGCGTTGGCTCGACTGGGAAAGGACCACACTCGCAGAATATACCAGCATCAAATAGCACACACACGTTTATAACCTAGCTGTAGGAATTACCCTAGCTGGAAATTTTCCCTATTTTAAGCGTGTTTGAGTTACTTGAACACTAATCCATTAGCATTAAGTGTATAACTCAATTAAATTTAGTCATACGATGTGAGTGACTATTTGTAATAAATCAGCTGATTTATCTGCGTCATTGTTAAAAAAATTACTAATATCAATCAATACATAAAATAACAATGTAATCTGTCAAATTATTTCTTCATAATTATTTCAGAGGACAAAAATCACATATAATAAATTAAAAATATTTTAGTAAAAAATGCGTTAGTCATTCTTTAGATTGGGCACATACGCCGGATTTTTTTGTTTCACAGATCAATTTTAACGTATATCCATCCATAGATTCGTCTATTACAGCCTTTAAAAGTCCAGGCCAATCCCCCAAGATTGCCTCATAAGAGGGATTCTGCCATGGTTGCCGCGCTTTCCAAGCGGTTGGCAACCGCAGTTGTTTATTTTTAGTCGTTTTTAGGAAGACGCTGCTGCCCATCTCCTGATTTGTTTCCCTCTGTATTACGACACCACAACAATACGATACCCACGGGATGATATGGGGTAGTGGATATTTTTACATCGCCACGCCACATGGTAGATCAATTTAGTTTTATATATCGTTATCACCGGTTTTTATTATACACTATGCACTATTTTATTTGCGAAGCGATAAAGCGAAGAAATTACCACCTGGATGTGGGCCTCTTTCTCCGCCTTCTTTTATAAGCTAATTAGCGTTCGCAAACTGCTTTGTAGAATTGATATGAGCATGACTCGACGTTGTACTTACAAGGTAATATGACTCATTTGTGCCTAGGAGTCTGTCTGGGTTGCTACGAAATAAAACTACTTTTAAAGGGTTTTATTGCTTATTTAAACTTATTTTATATTCCCGACTTTTCGAGTACTTTACAGCACCCATGGTCACAGTTATCCCTCCTTGTTATCAGCCACCCAATTTATTTATAACAAAACATATAATAGTCTGAAAAACCGACAATCGATGGGAAGAAAAGTACCATATTAACAGCCTCATACCGTAAAGCGAAGTGTAGGAGTGGCGACTTGATGGAGTGATTATCTGGTAGGCCATGCATGAAGTCGATAGAAGCTTGTGACCAAGGGCCGTACCTTGTGGTAGGGTAGGCCCATGTTCAGCAGTCAGTGGCGAAGCTTTCATTAAAGCCGAAAAGCCGGGCTTGCTTTATTAAACCTGAATCAATCAATAATATCAACTAATAAAATAACTCGTAAAATGTTTCAAGCTATTTCAAATTTCCCGCGCACTCCACTGTTCGACACATGTCGACCGATGACCTCGTATTGCCTTAGCGATACTGCTGCAGTCATAAAAAATGAGTTTTAATAGAGCTAATAGTTGTCTCCCTCGCTCGCGTGGGCTTTTTACGGGGCTTTCGAGAAGACGATCGCTCTCTTTCTAACCTATGGCAAAATATTCTATAATGAAATGTAACTACGATTGTATATATAGCAATTAGTATAGAGATTTAAAGCCAGGCTTTTGGGAATAAATTTGTTAAAAGCGGAGGCGCGCGGGCAATGCGTTTGCAAGTTCACGTTTCAATGTTTATTTACTCTGTGTGCTTATCTTAAGCGATTTAATATTACGAGTTCAAAATGTATGCTTTTTTAAAAAAATTTTAATGAAAATGGAGGATAATAGTGTTCCTTGTGATGAATTGAAGTGTGTTAAAGTGATAATCGGAGAGGAAATCTTTAAACTTTGTTAAGATAATACACAAGGTTAAGAGTGTATTTCAGACTTATCAATTATCGCAATTAAAAACAGTTATTGGTACAATTAAAACGTTCAACAACATTTTACGTGAACGTAATTAAATCTTTCCATAAGAAAGCGAGACGATTCCACTTATCTTATCTAATCTCTTATCCATTAGAATGTAAATATTTTTTTTTAATTTTGTGCATAGTTTGTTTGTACTTTGTTCGTGTTTTACTTTTGTTCATGTATTGTATTGGATGTAAATATTGTTTTTCTTTCGCTTAAACAAACCCAAACGGCCTTTTTCAAAGCCACCGAAGCTATGCAATTGATGATATGTAATACAATCTATCTAGCAGCGGTATGCCTTCTGTGTGCTTTGTTAAACACGTCCTTGACAGCACTGAATATGAAACTGAAGCGTGGAGACAGATCAAGATTGGTGTATTTTTATAAAACTGCTGAAAACCACAATCTATATTTTTATCAATTTATATCTTGGGCTTGCCCTAGCTTGGAGCTCTAGCTTCGCCACTGTCAGCAGTGGACTTGTGAAGGGTTGTAATGATGATAATGATCTTTAACATATAATAGATTTCCGCAAAGTAACGTCAGATTCTATTAATAATTGCACAGCGTTCCCAGTTGTCAGTTAGTGAACGCAGGACGTATATAGGTATGATGTGGTGGCAATGAGGGTATCCACGACTTTTCTTCCACCAGGGCGGCGTAACTTTGCAATGAGGTGTGTAATATTTGACAGATTTTGTGGCGGGGAAAATTAATTTGTTAGAAAAATGTCGAGGTTAATGTTTCTCTCTGAAATATTAGCTATGTTTTATATTAATTAGATTAGAAATTGATAAACTAAACTACGGATGTCCTAAAAGTAGACAAAATTAAAATGTGTAAAGAATTAAAAAGCACAGCACTGAGGCATTTTTTGTGTATATACAACATGTAACAAGAACCCTTTGGTTCTCGTTAACTGCTTTATCAGAATCAGTTTTAAAGCGTATAGAAATAATATTTTTTTTTAAGAAAACTCGACTATGTTTTTTTTTTTTAATTTAATTAAATAAAATTATTTGCCAATTGTATGTGGTTTTATTTCCTCTAACTCACACGAGTATCATCGGTATTGCGGGGTCTTTACAATCCTCTTACTCCTCGGCCAATGCAGAGATAATAAAACCATATACAATTTGCAAATTAATTTTTTTAATTAAAATTGATTTTTTTAAATGTTTTTTGAAAAAAAAAATATTTCTGTACGCTTGAATACTGATTCTCATAACGCACTTAACTGGAACCACAAGGTTTTTGTTACATGTTATATAATATACATGCACTAAAACTTGAAAATGTGTGTCCGTGATAAATAAAACTACCTCAGTCCAAACTGGCGACACCTGGTGAGCGTAAAATTATTAGCCATAATTGTAGTTTGTGCGTGTGTGCGCAGTGCGCGTTGGTGTGCGTATCGGCGCTGCACGTGGTGGCGCGCTCTGTGCTACGCGCGCACGATGCTGACGCCGCGGGGCCCGCCGCCTACTACACGCACCTCGTCTTCGATGTGAGTACCTCGCCTCGCCGCACCCTCATATGTGCTAGAGCCGAACACTTCTATGTATACTACTAGTCTGCCAATTCGGAACAATAACAACCTTACCACACGATGCACCTCATCTTGCATACTTTTACCTTTATACGTGGTAGAACCAAACACTTTGTATCACACTATGTATACTACGAGGCTGCAAAAAATACATATAATATGGTGAGTGTAAAAAACCGAAGGCCCTTTTTATACTCATATAACATCCACTTGATGAGATTACGAATAAATTACATTTTATACTACAATCCAATCGATGTTTATTACTGAGATACGTAAAGTCAGTTTGCGACACTTGTTATTTACTGTGTTGTAATATATATACCGGATTTATTCATAGGTGACAAGAGTCACATCAATCATCATAAACGTCATGTTGTTTCAAATTAAATTATTATTTGAGATGCAGTTATTGTACGCAATAAGATACTTCGACTTCATTAAGATAATGTATCAACAAAGCATTAAAAATATTTGGCTATATATTGCGTAAGACTTTATAAAATTATGAGATAGTTTTAGATTGTTAAGTTATTTAGCTTGTTTTTACATCCTCTATATTGAAAAAGAGGATTAAAATAATTAGTTTGAGCTTTTTTCCAAGTAGGCGTATTCATCGTGGACTTACGATGAGGCTATCGGTACATGAGGATACAACAGATTTGTGGAGATTAGTTTAAGCATTTAGTTATCTGTTCTATTATGTTAGTCTCGTTCAGAAAACATCTACTTATTGCAATGAGTGTTGACAGTTAGTGACGAGTCGAGTTTGAACCCGAAATATGTGTGCTGGTCACTGTGATTCGATGTTAACTTCGTGTAATGTTTTCTACTAGCTTTTTGCTTGTAAATATGACCCGCTTGCGTATATAATACGTTTTCATAGATGCATCAACTAAATCAGTCTTGAGGTTGCATCCGCGTCTTTAACACTTACGATGCATGTTATCAGATAGTCTACCTCTAGACTAAATATTAAATGAAATGAATGGATTGTCATAAACCGAATTATTTTGTACGATTCAATTTGATACGTGTTTTTAACAAAAATTCAGGGAATGTACAGCTAAAAAGCATCACAACATGAAGAAAATATCGATTTTGTTCGCAACTATCAACTTTTCATAATCTCAAGCGACTAATTATTACTAAAACAATACCTAGATGTGAATATTTGCGTTAATAATTATCGGCTTGTTTACTGTTTGAAAGTTTCTTTAGGTTTTAACGATTGGAAATAATACAACACTAGTTTGCAGTCAGGTATTGCAACGATAATAAATCACCTTAACCATAAAATTTATGTGATCGCTAATATACTTTAGTACATCACTAAGTTTTGAATTGAAATCCATGACTTGCCTTACCTGCCTCTGAGTGCTTTTACTTCCACTCCGCTTTTTAATTCCCAGATGAATGCTACATTTGCATATGGGGTCCGCGTTCAATGAGAATGCGCAGAGATATTTCTTTCGCTGATAAACAGATAAACCTTGAGTTGGTTAATGGCGGAATTGACCTTTTACCAAAATTTGTTCTTAAATAATATTGTTTGAATATATATGTTGTTCCACTCAACATCAAACATGGCAGAGCCATGCTGCAGCTGTGTTAATTGTATAGTTGTAGCACGAATGGGTCGGCTTGATCGGGGAAGGACCACGCTCGCACGGAATACCAGCGTAAAATATCAGCTTAATGATGCTGTGATTCGAATGGTGAATGTAGATAACCGGTGACCCTTTTTACTGGAAGAGAGGCAATCTATCTTAGTCCTCACGGCTGACAAGGCATCTGCATTTTGATGCTTAATTGAGGATAAATGTAGATGTCTATGGGCCACAGCTTCCACTTACCATTAGCCCGGTTGTCACCATTATTCTATATAAATAGTAGATTGATGTTATTGGAAGCAACGGTGATTGCAGTCGGTGGCGCTAGTGACGGAGCTAGCGCACGTGGCGCATATGGTGGTGCACAGCAACGCGCTGGTGTCCATGGCGTCGCTGGTGCTGCTCATGCAGCTGCGGCACCTGCTGCACGCGCTGCTGGCGCGCCTGCGCCGCCACCGCCTCTACACCGCGCTCGCAGACCACATGAGCCGCAAGTGAGTCACGCACACCTCGAAAAGGCGCTATTTATGCTAACTTCCGTTTAATAGATGTCATTAAATCTAATGTGACAATACACAATAACAAGACAATAACTGCTCGAGGCAAGCTGAGTAACTAGACCAAGGCGACCCCTGCCACGCTATCAGTGAATTTCTACAACATCAGGGGACTTCACTCGAACCTAAACGCTGTCAACTACCATCTAGAGACGGCGAATTTGGCTCTGCTCTTTCTGACTGAGACGCAGGTGTCCTATCCGGCTGATGCTTCGTATCTCTCCTACCCGGGGTACAAACTGGAATACTAACGGCAGTTTTGAAGGTTCGGACCTGTCCATCCTTTGGCTACGCGTAGATAGGGATGACCATCCGCTCGTCTACGGATGCCTCTATAGGTCCCATAGCGATAGTGCCGAAACAGACCGACTCTTCGACCACGTCAAAATACTACAGAGCTAGGCTACAGATTAGTTGCTACAGCGGATCCCCTCCGCAGAGATCGTGATCTTTGGCCATTTTAACGCCCACCACGCCGAATGGCTTGATTCACGTTTAACCGATCATGCGGGGAGATCTGTTCATGATTTTGACTTGGCATAAGGTCTGACACAACTGGTTACATCGCCTACGCGAATGCCAGATGTGGAGGATCATGCACCTTCTCTGTTGGACCTTCTGCTGATCTCTCATCCGGACTGATATCTGGTTTCCGTCGATGCCTCACACTGAAATCGCGGTTGCATTCTGCAGGCTACCGCCGTGTTTGGCACTATAGGTGAGCCGATTGGGATAGGATGCGATCTTTCTTTGCATCCTACCCTTGAGGATGAGTTTGCGTGTTCTCCGGACGATCCCAACGTTGTTGGTGATATGGAACTCTTTATTCCTTCCTCTGTGGTGCCCATCGGACGCAGATTTCAGTCATGGTTTAGTCGCTCCGGATGCTTGTAAAATAGCATCATGCTATAAGCGGGAGTGCTACCGGGCCTGGGCTGACACATCAACGTCCCAGGGTGTAAACACCAGTGCCCTAAAAAAAATAAGTAAAATTACGCCTTCAGGTCGTTCAAAAAGAGCAAAGTCAGAGCACATAGGCATAATTGGCAAGAAACTAACTAGTTCGCCTTCCTTCTGGAACCCGTGCATTCTGGTCTCTCACCAAGGCTGTCCAAGGAAATTTCTGTCAGCCATCTCTTCCATCTCTGCATAGGGAGGACGACTCTGGCCCATTCCGCAAAGGAGAAAGCTGATCTGCTAGGCTCTTTCTTTGCGTCCAACTCTACTTTCGAAGACGGGGGAGCACATCGCCGACCATCCCGCGGTGTGAGTGGTTCGCAAATTACTCTTCTCCCTGGACGTCATTAAGTCGAGTGGGCCTAATGGAGTCCTTCTTATTGTGCTGAAGACGTGTGCTCCGGAGTTGGCAAAGGTTTTAACGCGTCTTTTCCAGTACTCCTACTCCCTAGGCGTAATCCCGAATTCTTGGAAGACAACTTTCCTCCATCCGATCCCTAAAAAAGGCAACCGCTCAGATCCGTTAAACTAAGGGCCTATTGCTATCACCTTCTTGATCTCCAAAATAATGGAAACAATTATAAACTGCTAGCTAATGCGGTACCTTGAGAATTACCAGCTGATTAATGACAACCGTGGTAGCTCAGTGGTTAACGCTCGCTGTAAATATAACAGAACGCGAGTAACCCGGGTTCGATCCCCGCCGGCACCAATGAAATTGTTAATTGCAATTTTAAGTGCTGATTTACCACGTGCTCGGCGGTGAAGGAAAACATCGTGAGGAAACCTGCATGTCTGAGGAATAAGAAAAAAAATATTTCGAAGACATGTGAAACTTCGACAACACGCATTTGGGCAGCGCGGCGGACACTTTCTTGCCCTAAACCCTCAGAAATGAGGGGAGGCCTGAGCCCAACAGTGGGACGTATATAACCTGTAACTTTACTTTACTTTACTTTTAATGACCACCAATACGGTTTTCGTCAGGATCGATCAGCTGGTGATCTTTTGATCTACCTGACTCATCGATGGGCGGAGGCAATAGAGTCCAAGTGGAGGCATTGGCCGTTAGTTTGGGCATTGCGAAGGCCTTCGATCGGGTTTGACACAAAGCGCTTATTTAGAAGTTCCCTTACTAAAATAACCCCCCCGCGAAGAGATGTTGCATCTCTTTGCATTTTCTTTCGTCTTTACCACGGGGAGTGCTCTGAGGAATTGTTCGGATTAATCCCAGCCGCTAAATTACATGAATGCACTACGCGGCAAACCTCCCGATACCATCCACACCGTCTCGATGCTGGGCGGTCTACCACTGTTCGTTTCACTGGGAGTTTTCTTCCGCGTACGACCTCTGTGGAATAATTCACCACCGGTGATTTTTCCTAACGGACACGATCAAGGGACCTTCAAGAAAAGAGCTTACTCCTTTCTAAAAGGCAGGCAACGCACCTGCAATTCCCCTGGTGTTGCAGTTGTTAATGGGCGGTGGTAGTCACTTAACATCAGGTGAACCGTATGCTCGTTGGCCCCTATACAAAAAACTACGCATTTGCAAGCGATACCGGTGAGAACAGTGAATGTGCCGGTGCAAGTGACAGAAGTCTGCCTTATAAATTTGCGGTGGTTCGAAATGAAGACAAGTTGGACTGGCTTGCAGGAACTGAAGACTGCAGAAGACGGTCCTCAGTAGTGAATGACAGGGGTTCTTGACGATAATGACGAAGGCTTGAAGTTGTACTTTCCCAAGATTATTGGTCGCGTGTTCACAACACGTCGGTAAATCACCACTGTGCCGTGGAAGAAAAAGGGGAGATCTCCCGCCGGGCAAGGTGTTCTGCCCGGGGAGCGGCCATTGCTCCGTGTGATAGTTCGGAGCTATTCTATATATACTGTTTTACTTCGGAACTTTAATAGCGCGATGTAGGTTTCGATATGTTCGTTTGTGGCGCGACAACAGCGCCGCCACATAGTCATGAAAACTTCAATTTAAAATTAAATTTTTATTTTTAACACTCCCAATATTTATATTGTACGAGTATGATCAGAACTGTACTAAGACTGCAGAATATTATGCAATGTATTTGTTGTTTAAACCACTCAATAAATTGAGTCAGTTTTTTTGTTTTTCCAAAATAAGTTTTTCAACTCAACTTCAACTTTTTTTTCCAAAATATATTAAAAGAATATACTCAATTTTTTAAATATATTTTGGAAGAAAATGAGCAATACGTCATAATAATGACGACGACGCAAAACCAAACCAACTAAATTAAAAGTTCATTAACATGTGAATCATTTTTAAGGATACAATTAATTGGAAATTGATTTCCGACGATTTTAGTTACACCTACAGTGCATTTATGACCACAATGACGGCTGCTTTATAATATGAAATATGAATCATTAAAATCAATTACAATCGCTGATTGATTTTAAATGTTATGATGATTGTAATTATTTATAAAAAAATTAGACTTCTATTGCTTTGCTTCTGTTATCGTAGTATCATTAACATTACCGCATATTAAAGGTCTACTGCTGATCATAGGTCTCCCACTTAGATTACCTTTTAGGTTGGATATGCCATAGTTGCCACGCTTGGCAGGCGTTTTTTTACTTTTCCATTGAGATAGCTAGATGAAACATTCACAGAAAATACAATAAACTGGCTCAAATCTTTAATATACGAATCCACTGAAAGTTTTTTACATCCTCAACTTTAATATCACGCACATTATATATAATTATAATATTATTATGTACTTTAATCTAAAATTTGTATCTATATAATTTAATTAATTGTCTTTGTTATATTATCCTTCAATTTACTAAATGTCAATTTTCTCATAACCGATTAAATGAAAATAATGATGTCTTCAATATACTATAAAAACGTGTAGTTTAAGATGTACAATTCGTGAGGAGGGACCTGGTGACCTATAGAAAAGGTATTGTTTAATACCTTTATTAGGCACCAGTCTCTCACAAACTAGGGTTCAATATGTTTATAGTTTAACATTTTTGTCATCAATAGTACAGTTCCTGTTTGTGATGAGAAAATAAATATAATTTCTATTCTATTCTATTCTAAAATAAAACTACAAAATTAGAGAGCAGCAGTAGGATTTGTCCATTTTATTCTTTTTATAAATATCTTTTACTTGAGTCGGTAAAAATGCACTGAGATTGGTCTCTTCGTTTACCACAAACCACACGCTTTATGCCATCAACCAACATAAATAAATAAAACCGGCCAAGAGCGTGTCGGGCCACGCTCAGTGTAGGGTTCCGTAGCTTCCCGTCCGTCACAATAAGTGTTCCCACTTATGAGTTTAAAGGTGGGTATCCATTATGTTCGCGCTCCAGCAGCACTCCGCGATCCTGCAACTGCTCCCGGTAGTGGGTACTGTTGTTTCCATCCAACTTCAAAATGATTTTCCTAGAAAGTCCTTATAAAGTTCTACTTTTCAGATTTTTTTCATATTATCTAAACTTATGGTTTAAAAGTTATAGGGGGGGGGGACACATTGTTTTTCACTTTTGGAGCGATTATTTCCGAAATTATTGACATTATCAAAAAAATTATTTTAGTAAACCTCTATTCATTTTTAAATACCTTTCCAACAATATATCACACGTTAGGGTTGAAATTAAAAAAAAAATCACTTCCCACTTTACATATAGGGAGGCTACCCTAATAAAACATTTTTTTCCAATTTTTATTTTAAATGTCTGTAGATACACATAGTAATTTCAGCTTTCTAGTGCTAGCGGTTACAGAGATTAAGCGAGGACGGACAGACGGACAGACAGACATGGCGAAACTATAAGGGTTCCTAGTTGACTACGGAACCCTAAAAACATGATTTATTTTCAGTAGTAAAATTGCACTACTCTTTAAGGGTGGATGTTTGTGAATGTATTTTTGGTTGCAGCTATCCTATGGCGAGTAAAGAAGAGATGGAGGAAAATGAGGACAACTGTGCCATCTGCTGGGAGCCTATGAAGGAGGCTCGCAAGCTGCCCTGCTCACATCTCTTCCACAAGTAATTTACTTCTGATTAATTTATTGTCACTTAAATCATAATAGCTTTTCCCCGTAGCTTCACACGCGTTCAAACAAAAACGCCTTCATGTTCATTTTCCAGCCGTAACTTTTATGTTCTGGTATTTAGTACCGCGTAATAGAAATATTTTTGCAACGATGTAGGGTTTATTTAAGTTCTAACTGTGAACACTTAAATAGCTCCAATTATTCTTTTATTACGTTCTAATGCTAGTCTAATGTTTTTGTAATGCAATTAACATCTTCATTATCAAGTTCATTGACCGTAATAATACTTCTTTAATGCGATTGGCAATTTCATTGACCACAATAATGCTAACATAAAGCGCCTATTGTGAACCTATTTAGGATCTAAAGCCGTATAATGTGTGCCCAAATAAGCATTACAGTAGCCGTATAAACTCGTAATAAAACATATTGAGGGTAATGAGTGATCCTCAATATTGTATTCTACAAGCCGCCGGAGAAGATTAGTGAGTTCCTACCATCCGTCAATTGTCATATTCCTCTACAAGATGCATAAGCGTACAAGCTTGATTGTGAATGTGGTCTCTAATATATAGGGCAAACAAAAAGATCAATTATAACCCGCGTAAAAGAACATATAGCTGACGTGAAGCATCGTTCCAGGAACCACGTTCCGGGAACGACGTTCCAGGAAGTCTGCAGTTTGTGATCATATCCTAGACAGCCCCCACCATTAAATCAGATTTGATAGACCACAAATCCTCACGAAAGAAGGGTATCCCGTGATAAGTGTTTTGTGATAAAAACTAAGCTATCTCTCAAGTTGACCAAACTGCACAAAAAGTAAAGTCACTTTGACTTAAAGTGATGAGAGACAGCACGAGACTTAGAGACAGCACGGGGACCTTAAAATTGAGCAGCGTTTGAATATTTAGGCATATATTAAATAAAAATAAATTGGAATAATTTTTAATTCAATATAGATCATATGTAATTCTTATTGAAAGTCATTTTTTAATTTACCATTGTTTCGGAAAAATCCTCTGTCCTGGGAAGAACCAGCTAGAAACCCAGCGGGACTTTTCTTAAATAAATTTAGCAACATGATTACAAAGTGTTTATTAATAATGATTGTATTGTGTGCGCTTGCGTGCGCAGCTCGTGCCTGTGCCGCTGGGTGCAGCAGGATGCGTCGTGCCCCACGTGCCGGCGCGCGCTGTCGGCCGCCGCGCCGCCGCCTGCCACGTTGCCACCGCTGCCGCCGCTCGCCCCGCTGCCACCGCTGCCGCCGCTGCCCGCCGACAACGCCGACAACACGCCACAACCCAACCACTTCTTCCACTTTGACGGTTGGTACTCGCTCTCTTTACACAGTACACTTTTGTCGGTACCATCGAGCCATAATCTTTAACAAAAACAAAAACAACTCAAAGTGTGATGATGTAGCAGTGCTGCTTTGAACACATCGCTGTTATTCTTGTTGTTGTTTTTGTTGGGCATATTTCTGTTATCATAAAATATTTTATATAAAAAAATCTAATTGCATTATAAGTTAATAAAAAGTAAACAAATTAGAGTAATAAATTATCATTATAATCAATTTTATGAAAAATGTATAATATTTATACAAAAATAATAAAATTTAAGACCGTATATTCAAATATGCGCAAGTCAAAATCTACGCGATCGCTCTGGAACGACGTAATATTGACGCACACCACAATGTGCATATTAAAATTTAAGTGACAGTAGCAAAAGCAAAGCTACAATTCAGTATTAACATTGTAATAATAATATAATGGAACTCCTCTACCAACTACCTAATTAATAATATTCATATTAAAAACTTACTTTTTAATAACATGTAATTCATGTCATATATTACTTAAAAAATATTGCACAAAACAACTTTAAACTCTACTTCAAAACAAACAAATTAAATAAGCAAAATGGCGAATCAGCCTAGAAGAGCCCCCTCAACACCAATAATAATAATGTAATAATAATTGCATAAGCATTGTAAGCTTACCAGGAGTGTAATGATTTCTTATATTTACGCGAACACTATACATGATTAAAACTACTTTTACGGATTTTTTCGCGTTTTATTACAACTTTAATTTATTTTTCTTATCCCGACGTTTCGGGCGCTTTCCAGCACCCATGGTCACGTGGGACCGGTCCCCGTACGGTCCCACGTGGAATTAAAAATAAAAGTAAATAAAAAGTAAAAATAAACGCGATAAAATCCGTAAAAGTAGTTTTAATCATTACCAGGAGTGGTTAAATGGAATATTAGTAATGTTAATATCATTGCTAGTTTTTTTATATTCTTTCTGTGTGCGGATGATATTCTTTTATTCTATTTCATAATGTAAACATAATTCATCCAACTAACAATTTCATTGGTGTTAGCGGGGATCGAACCCGGATTGCTCCCGTTTATGGTGAGCATTTCCCCCTTGTGCTACCACGGCTCTTATATCTTCTTTTTGTTTTGTTTTATAATAACGTTACCTCCACATTAGGAATTTTTCCTAAGTATATCGTAGGGGCAGTTAACATAAGTAGGTACCTACATAAATTTTACAAGGTCAAACAACCGGACCCGGAACAAATATTTGTGGGCCATACAAATTAAATACTTATTCCGTACGGGATTGGTACCTGCGGCCCTCAGCGCTACAACTCATTGCTAAGCCACTCCGCAACGGAGCCGTTATATATATATCTTTTATAGTGATAGATTTTATAATTATAAATTAAAAGTAAAGTAAACTTATAGCCTATATACATCCCACTGCTGGGCACTGGCCTCCGCTCATTTCTGAGAGGGTGCTAGGACAAGGAATTGTCCGCCGCGCTGCCCCAATGCGTGTTGGCGAACTTCACATGTCTTCGGAATATTTTTTTATTATTATTTCTCTGACATGCAGGTTTCCTCGCGATGTTTTCCTTCACCGCCGAGCACGTAGTAAATCAGCACTTAAAATTGCAATTAACAATTTCATTGGTGCCGGCGGGGATCGAACCCGGTTTGCTCGCGTATTGTGAAATTTACAGCGAGCGTTAACCACCTGAGCTACCACGACTCTGAAAAATTACATATAAATATTATATAAATTATTTAAAAAAAATATAAATTACTTACTATTAAATAAACGTATTAAATTATTAATTAAATAAATAAATAATAAAGTATTATTCATGCTGCTGGGTTGTGCTTTCATTCGTTTATTCTAGTGTGGCTAGGTTCAGTGGGACAAATTTCGGGAGAAAAGGTAAAAATGATCGGGAACTCAATTTTTAAATAGGAACAGTTATAATGGCTACAAAAAGTATATTTTTTAGCCATTTTGTTCGTCATTATTTATACTGGTCTTTTTGACACATTCGCAGTGTGTTTTATAATTATTATTTGGGACTGATCAAATAAACGAATAATTTTTCGTCCAAACTTCGGAAAAACTGCACATTTGTTTGTGTGCATTTTTATTTTTCGGTAAATCAGAACTTGTGCTGTATTTTGAAGTAAATAAATAAACGAAATCATCTTTTTTGTGCAAGCAGCTATGCAATTCTAGAAAGGCTAGTATCACTGTGACTTACAGATCTATTGTGATCGCACGTATGGCTATATTACACTGCTAAGCCCTATGGTCTTATGGTAGCCATATAGTTGCCACCTACAGTTGGACTGTGTTTTCGTTTATCACCCTTTCTTCTTTTAAAGTGCATTCTTTCAGATAGCGCATTATTTAAAAATATGAACTGTGCCAAATGTCACAGGAACCCTGAAAATATGGTCGCCCGCGCAAAGCGGGAGACTTGGCAACACTAGTTTACACTAAAGGTGAGAATGACAGGGAATGCGAGCAGTGGTGGGAAAAAGTGATGCGTGTTGAGAAGACCCGAAGCGTACTGAAGGGACGGCGTTTGCACCCACTAATTTATAGTATTTTTAAAATAATTAGCAAAATTTTTTTTTGGATATTAAGTATTACCTGTGTTTTGATAAAGTGATTAAAATAAATAAGTTTATATTAAAATACACGGAATAAAGTGACATTGAAGTGGCTTTGTTCGTAATTTAGGCGTTGTGTTACAACTATACATTCTTATTATTTCTATATATTTATATTATAGAGTATATATTCAGTTCTAATAGCGCTTAAAATAAAGTATTCTAACTTATAATAATGGTTGCATTCGACTTGAAAGATAATTCATATTTTCGATAACGCTATGCAGAGATTGATTTCGCTCTAATAAAATCGTCATTAACATTATGATATTGCTCTGTAGACTTCATCTTTTTAAAGCCGTTATTATATCTATAATATAATAGTATAATCTGCTCACATCGTTACGATATCGCCCTTAAAAAAACCTTTAAACATGTAATTTTCGACGCGAATCATTTATGTTTGTGATTAAAATTGGGCATAGACTGCCAGTCCGGTTAAGTTTTCGTCAAAATCTCCCAAAAAAATTTCAATTCTTATATATATATATATATATATATATATATATATATATATATATATATATATATATATATATATAATCGGAATCTCGGAAACGGCTCCAACGATTTTCAAAAAATTTAGTGCCCAGGGGTTTTCAGGGGCATAAATTGATCTAGGGATCTAGAATCTAATCTAGGGATATAAAATAGACCTATAAAAATTACCCATAAGTATTATTTTACATTTATTTAATCAAATAAATCATCTTCTCATCACACCACAAGTTTCAATATCTTTCGTTGTTAGTTACAAATCGCGATACATAATATGTCCCCGCTGTTTCCTCTGTCCCGTTTGTGATTGACAGTTGAACCGCAGTAGCACTCATAGCATCTATTGCTTGTGTCTTGAATTTCCTGATCATAAGATTTTGTATTCCGCTGTTGTCGTCTGAGTTGCTAGTGTGACTGCATGATAGTACTGAGGCTGAAGTATGTATGTATGGATTACTGATTTGGATCATTGCGATGCGATTGCGATGGTGATGCATAGAAGTTGAAGTACTTGACCGTGATTGAATATCATTTAATATCATTGTTCTTGAAATCATCACCCAATGTGACATTATGTATAAGATTTTCCATTCCAGCTTCAAATAAAGTTTCGTTTATTATTTTTTCAGTTAACAATTACTGTTGCTGTTTATTTTTAAATTCTCCAAGTTTTGCTACAATTTTTCCAATAATATCTTAGCGATTCTCTTGATATGTCTGCCGTTTAAAGTGTTCCTGAATGGATTGCAAAACTTCTTTTCTTAAATCTTCATTATTTTTTCATTTCATTATCCGTTTATGTGTCGAACCGTAACCAGTCGAAGTTGAAGCAAAGGTTGAGATAGAAGCCGTATGACTCAGAGCAGAAAATTTGAGTGCTGCACCTGCTTGCGGTCGAGCTCAACCGCGGACGCACATCGTTGGGCGTCTTTCTCGATATTGAGAAGGCGTTCGACAAGGTGTGGCACTCTGGATTACTCTACAAGCTAGAAGACCAGACCAGTATCCCTCCTGCTATGTTGCGGCTAGTGGCGTCATTCCTCGCAGACAGGAGGTTCTACGTCTGTGTAGAGGACGCCGAGTCCGCAATAAATCCCATAGGAGCTAGTGTACCACAGGGCAGCTGTCTGTCTCCAGTCCTGTAAGCGGCTTACACCCTGGCAGGCCATCTGGGCGAATGGGAGGACGACGTAGAGCTGGCGCTATTTGCGAACGATAGCGCCTATTTCACCTCGTCCAGAAGAGCCCACATTGCAAATGCCAGAATGCAGCGTCTGCTGGACCTGTTGCCACCATGGCTGGACGAGTGGAGGATAGCCGTCAACGTTGGTAAGACGACCGCTCTGCTCACTCGCCGTTTCAGAAGATTTCCACCACCACTAACCCTCAGAGGCCAGGAGATCGCGCACGAGAAGGCCGTGACCTACCTTAGGTGTCGGATCGACAGGATGCGCCCGTCGACTTCGTCGTCCGCAAAGTCAGATGTGCGCGGGCGATGCTCCGTCCAGTCCTAGCATCCAAGCTGACGATCAAATCTAAGACCAGAATATACAAGACCTTTATCAAATTCTTTATGCTCCTGAGCCCTGATCGCGCTCCTGAGCGATCGACAGAAGCGGCGACTGCAGGTCCAGCAGAATTTGTCATTACGGACCATTGTCGGTGCGGGTCGCTACGTCCGGAACGACTTTATAACGGCCAACCTAAAGATAAAGAGCCTCGAAAAATTTGTGGTCCGGCTGGCGCGCGGCATGTTTGACCGCGCTGACAACGGGCCACACGAACACCTTTACGGCTTTGCGCCGTTACATACACGGCCCCCGGACG